CTTTCTAACATTGTGCGACAAAAAGCAACTCGAGGATCATAATCCCGGGGCAGGAGAGGTTGAACACGCTGTATGTGGTATGGATGAAGCACATCACTTACTTGCTATTGCACACTTTGATACCGATCAGTACTCCTTCGTTTACTGCGAATCTTTACATGTTCGTGCTTGTTGATTTCGTACTGTTACTAATTTTGGATTCGTGAACTGGACTATTGATCGCTTGTGATTTGGATTTGGACTGCTTAATTGCTCTTCAAAACAACATTTGCTTTCCTTAGACTATCTTTGATAGTGTGATTGTGCAGTGCCGCTATGTCCGTGTACACCGTACAAGAATATGCACCTCATTTATGGGGAATGCAGATGCAACGCTAGTGCTGCAGCGAGACTTTACTGTGAGAGGTACCCGAATGCAGCTCGTCATCCAGATCATCGAGTGTTCACAAATGTGCACCGCTTACTGTTCTCAGAGGGCCAACTACCAAACCAATCACACGGTGAGGGAAAATCTTTCCTTCCTTACGAAGACGTGGTGCTAGGAGCTGTCGAAGAAGACCCAAGTACTTCAGTGCGTGCAATAGAACTAAAAACAGGTGTGCCCAAAAGTACAGCCCATAGGATCTTGCAAAAAAACGTGATCCATCCATACCACGTACAACGTGTTCAAGCTCTTCTGCCCCGGAATTATGAGCCCCGAGTTGCTTTTTGTCGCACAATGTTAGATAGACACAGGGAAGTTCCACGGTTCTTTGAAAAAATTTTATGGTCAGATGAGACCACATTTAAGAAAGATGGGTACATGAACCTCCATTACACGAGTGGCATGTAGCAAACCCACATTTGATGAGAGAAGATAAATCTCAATATCGCTTCAAGATAAACCATTAGACAGGAATTTTAAATGGTAAAATAATCGGTCCGTTTGAGTTCCCAGAGACTTTGACTGCTGAGGTTTATTTAGTTTTTTTGCAAAATCATTTAGAAAATTTATTGGACGTGCCACTCAGCTGAGTTTGTTAATATTGTTAATAACCGTGGATTCGCTCGTTTAATAACCCGATCTTTTTTAAGAAGATGTCGAGCGTGTATTGCGGCTGAAGGAAAACAGTTTGAGCATTTGCTGTAAAGGTAAATCATCATCAGCGGCATTTTGACGCCCACTGTTGTGCAAACAGTTATCCTTAAGGGTCCTTGTGCGTTTTCATAATCGCTGTTTAATTAGGAAATTTTGAAAAATTTTCATCAGTTTTTTTTCAAATAAAAATTGTGCATAAGTTAACGAGTAATCTTCTAAGTGTTATACCATGTTGGAATCGTTATTAAATGCGCCAACTTTTAAGGTTACTTGCCTAAGTCTCGTAGTACATTTTTTTCCAGTACAGCCAGTTAAAGTTGAGCAAAGTTTTACTTTTGAATACTTGGATGGGAAATAAGTGGCAATTTTTCCTGAACGAGAAAAGTTGGCAGTAAGGTTGGGACACCAGTTTGAAGATGCATTATTCATCATTACATTGTAGAAATAAAATCCAAAAAAAGTTAATATTTGTAGTAACAGGAGTTGACAGACTGCCGTAGGGTGTGAAATTTCTATATTTTTTTCAAAGACCTATAATTTTCAAAACACATACATAAAATTTTTTTAAATATTTTTCTGATAGCTGTTATGACTTTGCCTATCACCCGGTTTCGGCTTGACGTCGACTTCTGGGACACCCTGTATATGAAAGAATGACTAATGCAAAGAATATATATTTCACTGACGACATGTTGAAAATTCATTTGTATAGCCTTATCAAAATGTACAGGGTGCGGCAGAGAGGATGGACGGTTTTAAAAAAATCATAAAATAGTTAATTTTTACTCGAAAACAAATTTATTGATGGAATCAGGTTCACAAGGAAATAGCATTTGAGACAGTCAAGTGTAGAAAATCACATCAGGCATGTGGTGGCCGAAATCGTTGATGCAGTGCTGGAGGCGTTCTTGGAAGTTCGCGTAGACTCGCTCCAACATCGCTCTCTCAGCTTGGGCTACTTCCACGCGAATTTCGCCCTTCAATTCGTCGAGAGTTCGGGGCTTGTTCGCGTAAACTCTAGCCTTGAGGTGTCCCCATAAGAAAAAATCGCATATGGATAAATCTGGGGACCGAGGAGGCCAATGAACATCGCCAAACCTGGAAATAAGGCGACCAGGGAAGAGAGGGCGAATAACGTCCATAAATGCTCGGGCTGTGTGGGCGGTCACCCCATCCTGCTGGAATCACACACATCGGATTGGAATACGTCGCCGTCGTAATTCAGGGAGAAAGAAGTTGGTATAACTTACGAAATAGACAGAATAATGGCTGAAAAAGGTCATTCTGTTTTGAGATTGCCCCTATATCACCCCGACTTGAACCCAATTGAGTTGGTATGGGCATCTTTGAAACAATATGAGGCTGACAGAAATGTAGATTATAATCTCAAGACTGTCGACCAACCTTGCGACGACTTTTTCTCGTCTTATCCCACAGAAGAATGGAAAAAGCGGTGTGAGAATGCCAAAGGTTTTGAGAAGCGGTATATGGAAATGGAACCAGCACTCGACTTGTGTTACTTTGTAAAAGGTATGCCATTTATGATCATGGATTCGTTCACAACAACGCATTTTGGTTATCCAAACTTATTATGAAAGCGGTCGAAATATAAAAAATACTTTTCGCAAACTTCGCACTAGTTTTGGCCAACATGGACGCCCTACAGAGCCTGGAATTAGTTGGATCGTTAATCGTTTTGAGGAAACTGGTTCAGCTGAAGGTCGTAGACCATGCCAACATGCTCGTCCAGCTCGTACTCGTGAAAAAATAGCCGCAGTGAGTGAAAGTGTGCGAGAAGATCCATCTACCTCGACTAGGCACCGTTCGCAACAATTGGGAATTAGTGAGACCACTTTACGCCGGATTTTACACATTGATTTACACCTCCATCCATACAAACTCCAACTAACACATGAATTGAAGCTGGCAGACTATCAACAGCGGCGTGTTTTTGTTAATTGGATGCTGGAAAGAAAAGACGGATTTTCGACCAAAGTGCTCTTTTCTGATGAGGCTCATTTTCGTAAGTAAATAAGCAAAATTACAGATTCTGGGGGTGCTGAAAATCCACACCAATATCATGAACAACCTCTCCATCCTGAAAACGTGACTGTTTGTTGCGGATTATGGGCTGGTGGCATCGTTGGACCATTCTTCTTTGAAGATGCCGAAGAAAAGGCTATTACCGTCAACGGGGAACGTTATCGCGGCATGTTAACAGACTTTTTATGGCCATAATTGGATCGAACTGGTGCCGACGATCTTTGGTTTCATCAAGACGGAGCAACGGCTCACACATCTCGCCAAACAATCGCCTTATTGCACACGAAATTTCAAAACCGTATAATTTCACGAAATTCAGATGTCAGTTGGCCTCCGAGATCGTGCGATTTAACACCTCTTGACTATTTTATTTGGGAATTTTTTAAAGGAAAAGTGTATGCGAATGGTCCATGGACAATTCAAGACTTAAAGCGCAATATTCGGACTGAAATTGCGGCCATAGACCCGATTATTCTGGGAAAAGTCATTGAAAGTTTTGGTGTTCGGATGTTGGCCAGTAAAAGAAGCCGCGGTGGTCACATGACTGATGTTATTTTTCATACATAAATGGCATAAACCAACCTTCATTTATCAATAAAAAAATTCTATTTCACCTAGTAAAAAGCGTGTAGATTTTTCAAATAGAAAAAAAAGGAACAGATGACGCACCCTGTACTTAGTCAGTATATGTGCCTTTCCCCAGTAAATAGTAGAGTTGGAGGTCTCATTGACACTTAATTTCAGTTCCCGGATACTATATACAATTTTTCGTAAGCTACATTGGTATGCTACATACGATTTAATAAAGGTAACTAAAAAAAAAGGAACACTATTTTGAACAAAAACATGCCCAGATAAAAAATGCGTTTTGTATTTGAAACTAATGATTATAAAGCTAAATCATTTTGAAATATAATCACTTCCATTTCTGTCGCAGCGATGTCTTTGCTAAAATTCTGTGTAACAATAGTTGCAAACTGTTGGATATCAATTTCCATGAAGGGTGAAACAACAAATTGCGCCACTGTAGCAATTTCATTAAAATCCTTGAAACGATTTTTGAAGTTGTCCCTCAAGTTAGAGACTATTTCGACATGACATTTACTGTCATATGGTTCTACGAGGGATGTCTTTTAAGTTTTGCATATAGACACCTAGTAGGGCGCGCGGATCGAACGTCAGTACTGAATCTTAACCTCACTCTTTAGTAAACTTAAATTCAAAGTTTCACAACGATACGTGCAGTGTTTTCACTATAGTGAATTTTTAAGTGTCACCAAGTCATTAGAAAAATGGAACTCAACCGATAACATTTTCGCGCCATAATGTATTACAACTTTCAGAGACAATTATCGCAACAAGAATGCCTTGCTGAGTTACTGTCTGTTTTCGGCAACGAAGCGCCACATCAGTCGACAATTTCCCGTTTTTCTGGAGAATTCAAACGTGGACGGGTGAGTCTTAACGACGATCCCAGGGTGGGTGCACGAAAAACGGCAGTCACCCAGGAAAACGTCGATGCTGTCCGCAAACTCATCATTGAAGATAATGTGACATATCGCGAGATTGAGGCGTCCTTGAAGATCTCAAAGACCTCAATTCAAAAAATTTTACAAGAAGAATTAGGAGTAAGAAAATTAGTTTCTCGTTGAATACCCCACCTGTTGACTGAAGAGCAGAAAGCAGCCAGGGTTAATTGCTGTCAAAAAACGCTTGACCGTGTCAATTCCGGAAACTAAAAAAATGTGTACAGCATTGTTAGTGGTGATGAATCGTGGATTTACTGTTATGAACCAGAAATTCAACGACAGTCGGCTATTTGGTGAAGAAAACCCAACAAAAGTCATCCGTTCTCGAAGTGTTTCCGAAAAGATGGTCGCGACATTTGTGTCACAAGCGGGTCATATTGCAGCAATTCCTCATAATGAGCAAAGAACTGTTACTGCGGATTGGTATACCACAATTTGTTTGCCAAAAGTCATCACCGAGCTTCGAAAAATCAACCCCGAAAGAAGAATCATCCTCCACCAAGACAATGCAAGCTCGCACACAGCCCAAAAAACAAGGCAGTATTTAACGGAAGAAAACATGAAATTATTGGACCGTCCTCCATACAGTACGTGTCACAAAACCTGCTGCGCCCTGGCTCACTCCTAACTTGAAAATGATTTTTCAACTCAGAGATGAGGCATTCGCTGTCTATCAGCATAACAGATCTGATCAGAATTGGGCCAGCTACAAAGATTTGAGAAATTATGCCCTTGCATCGCTTAGAAGAGAGAAAAAAGCATATATATGTCACGTTTCCGGAAACTTAACTCTAGTCAAGCTTGGAAACACCTGAGGAGGATGAATGTGGTAGCCCAGAAACATGTTGCGATACCTCCCAGTCTCCTTGAGCCTAACATTTTAAATAATTATGTTCTTTCAATTTTCCAGACAGCTGCAGCTGATACAAATTTGATTGATAGTGTCTCTAACTCTTATAGCGATAGACGCCATACACCGGATGCACCTCTGTTTGCTTTTAAACTCCTTACTCGGCAAGACATCGTCAATATAATCTCTCACATTAAGTCTACGGCATGTGGCTCTGATGGTCTAACTTTAAATATTGTTTGCTTATGTTTGCCTGATACCATAGACCATATAACTCACATTATTTAATGTCTGTCTCGAAACAGGTTACTTTCCTGTCAGTTGGAAAAATGGTATTATTATTCCAATAGCTAAAACTAATCATCCAGAACAATATTCGGATCTCAGGCCAATTACCTTATTATGCTTTCTATCAAAAATACTCGAAAGAGCTGTCTACTCACAACTAGTGGAGTTTTTCGAACAAAACCACTTATTTCCTCTACATCAGGTTTCAGAGCTGGTTACAGCACTACTTCGTCTTTATTACATCTTACTGATTCCATCATTCACAATTTAGATAATCACATCAACACCGTCTTGGTACTGTTAGATTTCTCGAAAGCCTTTGATATGGTCAATCACCAGATACTACTGAGCAAGTTATCTCATTATGGAATGTCAGATATAGTTCTAAGGTTCTTTGAGTCATACTTGATAAATCGTCAACAAACAGTGAAAACTGATCAGGGAATTTCCTCCTCTGAGCCAGTTGCTTCAGGAGTTCCTCAGGGCTCAGTATTAGGTCCCATACTATATCTGATGTATACGATCGATCTGCAATACTATTTAGTCCACTGTAGTATGCAAACTTATGGAGATGATACTCAGTTAGTGTTTGGTTTCGATCCATCAAAGGTTGATGAAGTTTCTTTTAAAGTTAATTTAGATTTAGCTAACATCTGTGATTACTGTAACAAACACTGCTTGAAGATCAATCCTAATAAAACTACTGCAATGTTGTACTGTTCGAAGAACTCCTACCGTGAAATGAAGCAGAGGATTTGTGTTTTTTTGGATGAGACACTCATCCCTTTTGTGGATTACGCCAAGAATCTCGGTGTTACCCTTGACTTAAATATGAGATTCGATCGGTATGTCTCTTTCTTATCTAGAGTAACGTATTTGCGTTTGAAACTCCTCTATTCTAATCGATACATCTTGAATTTTAAAACCCGAAAAAAGCTTGCTGTAAGTCTTGTGTTGTCGGTCATTTCTTACTATCTTGTTCTGTATTACCCATGTTTAGACTACGTCCACAAAAGGAAACTCCAGAAAATTCAGAACAGCTGTTGTAGGTTTATTTTTGGATTACGCAAGTTTAGTCGCGTCTCAGATAAAATCAAAGAACTCAACTGGTTGCGAATTGATAAGTTATTTTTATATCTTTTGACCGTCTTCACGCATAAAGTTCTATTATCTAACAGATCAGCTTACCTCGCTAGCAAATTAGTTCACCGAGGTAGTTTTGTTACCAGAGCTCTTAGATTTAATGCTAATTTTAACATGCCTCCTCACAATACCTCGGTCTTTGAAAGAAGTTACACCTATAATGCTGTCAAGCATTACAATGCAGTCAACACTGGCTATCGATCCAAACAGGTTGTTTCTTTCAAGAAATTAATAAAAAGTCAGCTGCTGGAGTCCATTTAGTTCAGTTTTTCTTGTGCTCATGTGATTGTTTTTTTTTGTTTGACTACTATTTTTGTTTCAAATTTAAAACTCTCGCAATGCTATCTGCATTTATCTCGTGCAATCATTGTTGTCATTCTTATGAATTGTATTTTTTTTTGTATGTTATTATTTTGTTTATGTGTGTAAGTATTCTTTTTTCCTGTTGTGGGGTTGAGTGTAAGAGTAGTCTGGCTAAACTTCGCCTCACTGCAGTTAATAAAGGCATTATTATTATTATTATTATATAGTCTCGATCTAAGTCCTAACGATTTCTTTAGTTTCCCGAAAATTAAAAACAGACTGCGTGGTCAAAGGTTCCAATCACCAGAAGAAGCAGTTGACGCATTCAAAAATGCCGTTTTGGATCTGCCAGCAAACGAGTAGAATAAGTGCTTCGAAAAATTGGTTCGAGCGCTTGCAGATGTGTATTAATCTTCATGGAAAATACTTCGAAAAACAATAAAGTCATTTAAAACTACCTACCGTGTTGTTTTATTTCCATATGCAAAACTTAAAAGACAACCCTCGTACAACGAATAGTACACCTGCTATATCGAATTAAAAACTTACGTTTTCATGCTTGAACCTGGTGAGGATTTTGATCTCCCTTAATGTCCGTTGACTGTACGTCTGATGCTCGAACGGTGATATTTTCTTTATTGCCACTTTTGTTTTCGTTACCGTGTCGTAAGCCGATCTGCAATCAAAGAAAAACTAATCAGATTTCTCATGTGCGGTGATACTAAAAAAATCGGAGTGTGTATCGTGCAAACAAATAATATTGTGTTAGGACAGCGTGGGCGCCGAGTAAGTTGTCTGTCCATTTAGGAGGGCATACTATACATCAGGGGGAGGAGGACGACTATCCACTGGATCGCCTGGGTTTGGGGATTTACTGCTCGACTTAATTTTCCAGCTACTTGACTTGAAATCAACTCAAGATTGAGTCAATTAGTTTTTACGTCAAGTACTTGAAAAGTCAAGTACCCTTAATATTACTTGATAATTTTTGTAATATACATACGGGTAGATTACCTGTATAAATATTACTAATAATTTATATTTTGTCACGTGCCAAAATCACGTACCATTCCCTTTTTTTAATGATTTTCTTTTGGCAAATTTCATAGTTTATTCATCAGGGAGGTCCATAAGTCCTTTGAAATTTCAAATTTGAATAAAATTTAACGGGTGAGCGTGAGCGGCGCGGGCGAGGTGGGGGCAGTATCTTCAGTGTCTGGGAATTCAGTCGCCATGGAGTGTTTCACTGGAGCGGATCGTGGTTTTTGTGTGCGCGCGTTTTATCAAAATAATGATTCGGCAACCATTGCGCGGCGTAAATATCGAGAATACCACAATTTGCACAATTTTACAAAGTGTCCAACAGCTCAAACGATTAAGAACTGGGTTGCTAAGTTCGAAGAGACTGGTTCGACATTAGATAAACAGCGGTGGGGTCGACCAAGGACAACTCGTATTGAAGAAAACATCAACATTGTGGCACAGTCTGTTCGTCAAAATCCTACCCAGTCTACTCGTAAGCGTTCCAGTGCACTAAACGTACCCAGAACATCTTTACAGCGGATTTTAAGGAAAGATTTACGTCTGCACGCTTACAAAATTCAGTTAGTGCAGGAATTAAAAGATAATGACGCTATTCAGAGACTAAACTTTGCGAATGAAATGTTGAATCGATTTTCTTCGCTCAATAATGTGTTGTTCTCGGACGAGGCTCACTTCCATTTAAATGGGCATGTAAATAAACAAAATTGCCGTTATTGGAGCCCCGAAAATCCAAGCCGTAAGCATCAGGAGCCCTTACATAGCCCTAAAGTTACAGTTTGGGCTGCTATGTCAGCGCATGGCATCGTAGGCCCTTATTTTTTTGAGGACGACAGAGGTCGCGCATTAACTGTTACTTCGGAGCGGTAGGTAGCAATGATAGAAAAGTTTTTGACACCAGCGTTGCAGAATTTTCCAGGCTATAATACGCAGACCTGGTTTCAATAGGACGGAGCAACTGCCCACACCTCCAACACTTCTATGCCCGTCGTCTGTCAACTTTTTCCCAGCAAAGTAATTTCTCGAAGAGGAGACATTTCCTGGCCACCACGTAGTCCAGATTTGACCCCAATGGACTTCTTTTTATGGGGCTACCTCAAGAGTAAAGTGTACGACACCACTCCGCGATCAGTTGATGTCCTGAAAGAAAATATCCGAAGAGAAATGGCAAGCATTACAGTGTTGACTTGCCGCGCAGTCATCGACAATTTTAGACGTCGCTTATATGAGTGCCGTAATCGTAATGGATTTCATTTAGACGATGTGATTTTTAAAACATAATTCCCATTCAATAAAGATGATAACAAAATATAATAATTCTTCATAATGTAACTAGTTTGGTTTTATTCCGTTTTTTCCAGCTCAAAGGACTTATGGGCCACCCTGTATAATTTCACATGTTAATTATATCTTTATTTCTCAGCGACTCAGTGTTGTGTTGAAATCCTTTGGACACTCATGTTATATTATTATGAACGACTACTTTCCTCATAAAGTATCGTTGGATACTCGTAGTGTTGGTTCTGCCTACAGTCTGCCCATTGGCAACCAGCGCGCCACCTAGTGATTTCTACAGTATTAACCGTATATGAATATTTGATTTACTATCAAGATACCTTGGGGGTTGCGTGCGCGGATGGTCCAGCCATTTTCTTTTTCTTCCTGCTGTGGTTTTGGTTGTGTGAGGGCGTTTTTTCGTTTCAGATTTTGGGGTATTAACGCCTTCAAGACTAGTTTATAGAGTAGTATCCTTTTATTTTGTACCTTACGTTTAGTTGTGTTGGTTTAGGTACTACCCGTCCATTTTCTAATGGGATTTTAACCTTCAGCGGTAATTTCTTTTTTGTCCGCGTCCATTAATGCTTGTCCTGAAGAAATTTGTCCAATATCTGCTTCCTTTAGCGGAAAGGCTTTGCGAAGAACCACCATTCATATTCCACCAGCTTTGTTTTGTAGCTGCCTTGTAGCTGTTTCGCAACCGATTTTGTTGGAAACCATTCCTTCCCCTTGATAAAAAAAACCCTGATGTGAACAGGTAAAACATCACTTTAATTGGGTATTTTATAGATATTAATACATGCTTACTGAAATTCTTAGTGTACTTAATTTTGTTTGGCATTTTACGTATCCAAATATAGGGCAGTGTCTACATGTCACCTTCTGTTGGGCTTGCTACATTACATTGATGATGATTTTGATTTTTGAGCTGCCATAACTTGGAACAAGGGATAACTTTCTGAAAATGTGTCACTTTAGTAAATTTTTATCTTTTCTTACCTTTGCTTTACTTTTCTTGTGAACGGGAATCTACATGGATTTTACTTAAAGTTTCTAGTCCTTTAAATGTGTGGTTCTGTCTCAGACAGAGAGTAGAGACTAGACTAGGGTTTTTTATAACGTAAATTTTGAAAAACGAGGCAAGCAGCCCCTACCTGGTGACGTTCCTCACGTTACCGCTGGCCATTGATTTTTGATCGGAGCATTTGTGAGCTGTGGACATTTCAGCTGCGCATAGAGCTGTAACTGGAAGAAGTATTGGAGGTATAATTATCACGGTCTGATAATTGTATTGTCAGATAGTTTTGAACAATATCCTTTTTGTAACTCGCACTTCAGTGGTGGAGCATATGTACTGCTTGTTTTGATAATATATTGCGATTTTTTTTTTAATATCTTGTTTTATTTGGCTCTCTGTATACAGTTAATTAGGTTTCATCATTACTGTTAGATTCTTTTCTTTGTGTGGTGGTCAAGCAAACAAGTTCTGACTAACACCTCGGGGATTTGTGACTTAATCCCTCCTGAGTCACTGGCGCTCGTAACCCTCCCTACTCTCCGCTGTATTGAGGTAGGGCCTAAATTTGCACGCCACTCGACAGCTGTTTTGCCTTGACTGACCCTTAGATTTCATTTATAGCGCTTTATTTATTAATTCATTAATAAAAAAAAAGGAAAGAGGAATCACGACATTTGCTCTTGTATATAAGAAAAGGCGTGGCAATTATTAATAATCTATATATCTAAGATGTATGTTTTCAAAAATTATTTACATATACAGTAATGGACAAAAGTATATAGACCAATTAATATTGTGCTGTATTTCTTTATTAACTTGTTTTATTAATACACCAACCTGTATACATAAATCGTTATAGCATAATATTCACTTATATATAAATATATTCATTAGACTCCCTTCAATAAAAAATTTATTGAAAAAAACTGGAACTATGAAGGACAAAAATATATAGACAAAGCAAAACAATTATAGATAAAAGAAGCAAAGTTCATTGAACTATAGAAAACCAACAATGTTTGTGTTAATATTTTGTAGCATAACTATTATTATCAATCACCGCCTGGCATCGTCTCGGCATAGATTGTAGAAGTTTGAATGATCTTAATTTTCACATCGAAAGAAATTTCTGGACCACGCGGCATGGTCTTAAAATCACTCAACTTATTCCACAATACTAGATGAACACAAACTAATCCTCTTCTGACACGAAACTAATGTTGAAAAGAATTTGTCTACATATTTTTTCCCTCAAAAAAAGTGCTTATATTCAGACTTGTATTGTGTTCATTGCAGATAATGCAAAAACAAGGAATTTAGTTTTTCTACTAATAACGCATTTGTTTATGAAGCAATGAAGTATGAATTCGTTTTCTAAAGGTATTTAGGTAAATATTCATATTTGTGTGTATACTTTTGTCCATTACTGTATATATATACATAAATTTTATCAAAGTAATAAAAATCATACGTATACCGCTGGTTTCCTGTTGACAAGCTCACATTGTCCAGGGCGTACTAAAAGCTGTTTGATAGCAATAAAAGTACACATAATGTGAAAAAACATTTATTTATTTATAGAAACAATTAAAAAAAATTGTCGTGCATTCCATTATTATCAGTATTAAGTTAATAGAATTTTATTATAAACTCAAATAGCTTCACAACGATTGAAGATGGGTATACATTTTTATACAAAAGTTACTAAGAACTCCATGGAAAATCAAAAAAATAAAAAATAGATGTTTCCATTTAAGAATCTAAAATGCAACCTAATATCCCTGGGAATATCTTATTTTTAGATGAGCCTGTATTGTACGGTTATAGATAAAAAGACGTCCCCCTAGAAATCAAAATTGACTTGTCCGAGCGCTTTTCCCAAAATATACCAGGAGAGTCACAAATGGGGGTGCGACCTTTTCGTTGAGCCACCCTGTATAAACTAATTGTTTTATAAATAAGGGACATGAAAGTACTCAGTATTCGAACAATCACCCAAGTTGCATATCTCACCGTCCTGAATAAATGTCTCGACCGACACAACATCCTAAATCCTAAGGGTAATGAGATAAAAATGGTTGAAAAAAGTGGATTTCTTACTTTATAAATTGCATAGCACATTCACCATTTTTTGAGGTAGCGTACACCGTCGACCAGAGAAGATCGGAAACTCGAAAAAGATACAAAAACGAGGTTTATAAGTAACTTTACGTAAATTTTTATGACTCCAGGTAGAGCATTCTTGCTCGACGCTGCAAAGGGCTGATAATGGTATTATTCTCATCTCTTTATGCCATTTCCGGAGGGATGGAGACAACCCCAAAGTTTTAAAACAGGAA